TTACTATTTCTGTGTAAATTACAAATCCTTTTTAAGCATATAGTGAAGAATTTCGTGGACATTATTAGGGTCCAAGTCACTAATAAAAGAGAATGTCAACGCAGAGGCTAACAAACTAAGCAAGTATCATGGTCACCTTTCAATGACGTGACTGTACTCAGGAAACGTTTGATTAGTTGTATATGAACGAATATATCACCCTATCCTATAAGATTGCAAATTCACGTTTATTTTAATTATTATTATATATTATTATATATATTTTGTTAATTATTATTATATATAATATAATTTGTAGCTATTATAAAATAAATATATTTAAATAATTTAAAGTTTTAGGTAAATATGGGCAATGATATAATAATGAATAGAAACACTATTGCTTATTTTTACTACATCTTTTATTTTATAATTTTAGAGTTGTACGAAGTTATCTATCATAAGTCAGGCTATTTTTTTAATATTATTAGCCAGTGACTAGTATCCCACCTGATGGTAAGTGGTGATGCAGCTGAAAATGGTAATGGTAATCTAAGCTTTTTTTATAGGATAGGATGACAAACGAGCACACAGTCCACCTGATGGTAAGTGTTGCTACTTAACAAAAACTAATACAGTCTCGCCTTGAAGTAACGTCCATTGTAATCAGATGAAAAGAAATATGCTGCTACTAAGTAAGGTAATATGATCGAAGAAAGTTTGAGCAGTGTTAAAGACAAGTACTAATTAAAGTAGTAAATTACAAAAACTTCTTATCGATAATGTAATCGTTTTTGTAACCACAAATGCTGTGGTCACTAGGGCTCGAACCGAGAACATGTGATTTAGTAGTCAGAAAATCTTAGCACTAAATTACGTCATCATCACCATATTCACAACCCATCAGAAGTCCACTACTGAACATAGGCCTCCCTCAAGTTAGTCACATATTTAAGTAGGACAGTTCAAGTAGGAGCATATTTGCTATAGTTTCCACGTTACAACGTACACGTTTGGTATGCGAGTTGGTAACCGTACTTTTTATATCTTGAGCTGTTATCAGGAAAATTCTACGCCTACGGTATGATATGGATTACTCTACGCCGCCACTTCATGTCACTAAGTCACGAGGTTCCCATATATTATTCTTTTACAAATAGTTATCTATATATCATACAGATGAGTGTAAACTTAGGTCAGTGACTATTAAATTAAAAAAAACAAACAAGACATATCAAAAAACGGTAAAATGTGTCAGATACAATATTGAATTTATTGATTGATTAGGTAAACTTAAGTTTATTAAAGTAAGATATTTTTGTAACAGATAATACTCGTATTATAGGGAAGTAAGCACGTAAAACCACATTTATATGATAGATTTTAGCCGTAACTTTCATTTTTATCGGGGATCTCTTACGGCAGATTACCGGATGTTATGTCTTACTTTCTCTGTCATGTTATGTCAACAACGTTTGATTATGATGTATTGAAGTGTCGCCTCCATACTATATATATATATATATATATATATATATATATATATAATATACCTAGTATACAAGTAGGTATACATACCTGCCGGTACATATTTAATTATTTATTACAATTGAAAGTAACAGTTAGCGTTGGCCAATAAAATCTTAAAATTATTGTCTCTGTTGGTCTAGTGGTCTAGTAGCTGATCATAAGATTCCAGGTGCGAATCCCGAGTCGGGCTATAATCAGTTATTAGGTATTTGTGTCAGGAAATACTCAGTAGCAGCTCGGAGTCAAGCAGTTGGCGGTGTTTTAACCTCATGACTGAAAGCACATAAAGTCTTTAGTCCTACGCTTATGGTTCTATCTTTCTCCGGTCGTGCCAGTTGGCTGTCATATGGTCTCATAGTAATGAGAGTGAGTAAACAGAGAGTGCACTTGCACTTGCACATAGACACGGCCACTATTACCCTGTCATACGCAGATGGCTAGTCTCCGTTGAGACGGTCTGGTGGACATTATTATTTAATTTTAAAATTAAGACGTTTTATATGCAACGCTCAAGTAGTAAGGGCAAATGATAAGACTAAATTTTATTACTAATATCTATTTAACCATTCTTGAACAGAATAGGTGTTTTATATAAGTGAAAACTTGTTTTATTTAATGCATTAAATAAGTTTATCATATTTAAACTAATGGTTTACCTTTACTTAGTACTACCTTGCGACTGTATTACCTTGCTGTCAATTTTGAGAGTTTTTTTAGGTTTCCATTCCCTTTTAATGGCAAACGATATACAGTGTCTAATAAAAAAAAAAAAAAAATATATATATATATATATATTCTGTGTGGTTAATGATCTTCCTACGGTCGTTTAAGAGGCGCAGTGTTTACTATTTGCCGATGAAATTAAAATTTTTTTGAAATTAAACAATGCTTCTGACTGCCAAAGTCTGCAAAGGGGCATTGACAGATTGGCACAGTGGGGAATGGAAAAGAAATTGAATTTCAATGTTAATAAATGTTGTATCATGAGTTATGGTCGTGCTAAAGACCCTCAGAAGTATGCTTATGAAATGAACGGCCTCGTAATCCCGCGCGTTACATATATTAGAGACTTAGGCGTTGAAATTGTCCCGGAACTTAATTTTCGTAAGCACATTTTAAATATTTGTAAAAAAGCTTTCAGGAGTCTCGGCTTTATATTAAGACAGTGCAGGGATTTTCAGAACTTATTAACTATTAGAATTTTATATAATGCTCTCGTAAGAAATCAACTTGAAACGAACGCAAGTATTTGGAATCCACATGAAAGCAAGTATAGTGTCATGGTCGAAAAAATTCAAAATAAATTCACGCGATTTTTATACTTTAAGCAGTACGGAATCTATCCTTGTTTTCCACTGATGTATACGAGTCTGTTTGTACTGGGGATGGTTGGTTACAGCCGCTTAAGTGTGAGAAGAGACATCACGCTTGATGTGTGCAAAGTATTACGTGGATGGATATATCACCCATATGTGCTCGCTGCGTTAAAGATGCGGGTGCCTAATAATTACGCGTGTTCTCGTCGTCCTCCCCCATTACTCCTCGTGCCCGCTGCTAGGACGAAGTTGCTTCAGAATGCACCATGGTCACGGGCTATATACTATGTTAATATCATCTCACAGGATATTGACATATTTGCATGTAGTGAGACGAAATTCATGATTGCAGCTTACAAATGCTTCGAAAATTGTAATATTTTTAATTAGTATTTTATTTTACCATCAATTTGATAGATTTCATACTAGATACCATTATTTATTAGTCAGTAGTTTTCTTATATTTAGGTTAGTTATAGCATCGCATTGGTTTAGTAACTGTAATGATGTTATAATTGTGTAATAAATAAGTAAATATTGAAGTCTATTGCTGAACATAGGCCTCTGAGATAAAGACACCGCCATACTATGTAGTGTCAGTGTAACAATATCCACTACCCTATATCATCTTGTGGGAGTCGTAAGAGAATAAAAAATACTGCGGTAGCCAACCCGGTTTGTCGTTGTTATAGTCGTTAAGCCATTGTAGGTATTCTTGGTGTTTTTATATTACTTAATAAAAGAGGAATACTTTGTTATTAAGTGACTCCAATTATCTAAATTTGCTTGTGGTGGCGGCGTAAAACTGCCATTCGCCGATGGAATATGCCAAAAACTTCACGTCATGCACGTTATGATACTTATTATATTAACAAACTTCGATGATAGCCTCCAACTAATTACTTCCGTAATTTCATTTTTCAGTCAGTAAAATCTGTTACTAAGCAGAGTTTCTCGTCCACCAAAACGCACTGCAGGAGTAAGGTTGACTAATTGCTCCATAACCTTCTCAGAAAAGAGTGGAGGTCTTTGTCCAGCAGTGGGATTTATATTGAAGGGTGACGGTCTAAGACGGTGTAAATTCAATAATTTTCAAGAACTCTAACTATCGCTTGGGTTCAGAAACAATTAATGTCAGTTTTTACACAAAAACTAATCTGTAAATGGGATTCAAACTTAAGACCTCTTTAAAGCTGAACCTGACCATAAGATACAATCGTCACTTATATGACCGTTTAGAAATGTAACAAAATTTGCAAAATTACCGGTTTGTAGAACTGTACTCATTTACTTCGTGACAGGTTAGCAATAGTAACTCGCGAGTTTCAGTTATCCTTGGTTTTCGCAGCCGGCAGTACTAACACGTAGGCCTCGACATTCGCAATGTCAGTCTTCCACTTTCACACAGCTGGGGCAATAGCAATTGCATTTATTTTATTTTACTATATTCACTTTTAAAATAATTTGTGGTCATGGCCTGTTACACAAGATGCAAATTCATTTTAATTAGGTCTATATTTTATTATTTAAATTTAATATTTCTAAATGTTTTTAAATTGTTGACATGCAAAACAGACTAAAAGAAGAATATTGAATGAAATAAAATAAAATGACTAATGAAGACTAGAAAAAAATTATAGTTGTCAAGTCCCCTACTAAACATGGCAAGTATGGCAAATATTCCCATTATGACGCAATCTGTCGGGAGGCCTATTCACTACTCGATAATATTGGGCTAGATATATATATTATCGAGTATACAACGTGTAACTAAAACCCTGTGGTTCCCGTTAAGTGCGTTATCATAATGTAATCAGGGTTTGCGGATCTCTACACTCACCATACAAAATACACCAGCATTAAGCTGCTATTTTACGCTAGTATTCTGTGAGAGCGTGGTCCTTCCCCGGTCGAGCTGACTCATTCGTGCTACAACCATGATATAGCTGCCGCGTGGCTCTACCACGTATAATGTAAAATATCTCCACACTATTATTTTCTCCTGTATCTTTGGGACCGTTCACAAACATAAATTTCATAATGATAAACATCCAGACCCGGAACAGTTATTTGTAGGTCACACAACTTGTTCGTGCGGAATTCGAACCCGCGGCCTTTAGTGATGTAACTCATTGCTAAGCCACTGCGCCACGAAACCGTCGAATATAAACTTACGATTTTTGCGAAGTATCTGCACAATTATGAAACATTACTGATGTAAATTTAAAACACGAACAAAGAAATTTGTCATTGATAAGACATGACCATTGAAAATGTGTTGAATGTCCACACAATTATAGAAAACCTTATAAATATCCACCAGGTGAACAGTTTCTAAGTGAAAGTGCGTTTAATTCCCCAATAATACGTGACTGCAAAGCTTGAATACTTAAATGGGTGGCATTATGTCGGGCAAGGTCAAATGTTGGTGAAACATTATCAAGGCATGACATGAGTATAGATAAGAAGGTCAGGTCAGGATTCATTTATGACGAAGCACAGTATTTATGCAATGTTTATTACATTGAATAAATTCTTTTGATTTTATTAGAGATTCACATTAAATAGATAATAAATAGCACAGGCTTTCATTCCCTTAGTTGAGCAAAGGCCCCCCCATCTCTAATACTTTAGACACAGGTTTATTCACGATGATTTCATTCTTCAAGTACGTGGTAAATCAGCTATTAAAATGCCAATTTATAATTTCATTGCTGCATGTAGCTAGGTCTGCCCGTATATAATGAAATTTTAAGACGAGCGCTTAGAAAATAATCGCAACGGTTCCGGTATAGAATATATAAAAATATATAACAGTCTATTCTAGACCGAAAGCACCACGATTGTTATTGTTAATATTTTATTGAACTAAGTTTTTAATATTTTGCCATTTATTATTATTCTATGAAACTGAAGTGAAAAATGACTTGGTGACTTGGTAAATGCCTACTGCAGTCCATACAGCTGCAGACAACTTCAAACAATAAAGACTACAGATGCACTGTCACCTTTGAGAATTAAGATGGAATACCTCACTTGTACTCAATTATACTGGTTTTATATACCATTTCAAAGCGGAACATAGCAGTGCAAGCAAGTTTAGCGGCAGGAATGAGTAAGAGTATATTTGGCGGTAGAAATGGGTGAATATACCCAGAAGAAGTCCTACAACCTGATAATATTTTGATTTAAAAAAATCTCAGTTTTGTTTTTTAAAATGCTGATTTAAAAAATATATTTCGATAGTTGCCAATTTGATTTGGTTGCCGCGTTATGAACTATTTTACATAATCGTTGAGTGGTCTTTGTATAGTTTAACTATTATGCTAACAAACTAAAGCTTAATAATTCTAAAGTAACGCATAACTGGATGTAGTCATTACAACGGATATTTAATTGTCAATGAACAGACTTATCTTTTATGTTAGGATAAATGTAATGGGTTAAACATAATCAAAGCGTTTAATTCTGAAAATCGTAATACTGAAGATAGCTTCAGATAGTACAACTGCAAGCATTGTTCAGAACTGATTTAAATATTAAATATTGAGTCAAGACTAAAAAATATAAGGGAGTGAGACTCAGTTAAAAGAAGTGAAAAGCATTTTTCCAACATTTAGGTATATTTAATATTTTCCTTTCTTCAACTTTAAACATCAACTTTTTTAAATCGAATTGTTTTCGAAAAATTAAAGTTATTATAAATATAAGAAACAAAAAAAAATTATATCAATGCCACTGATATATTTAGATACTTTATTATATTATCGCGAAGCGTCACCATTCTACTTTCGATTAATTCTTAATTTGGGTGGAATTTACGTTTAATGGGACCACCATTTGATGTAAATATCTTACGTGTACTGAAAACGGTGTCCTTTTTAAATTGACGAAATAGCAACTGTTACATTACCTATATCACAAAAGTTTCGTTGCTACCTATTTGTAGCAGTAATGGAAAGCTATTATATGAGTAAATCTTTAGAGAATCCCTATATTGAACCTGGGATAATACACACTAAAATTAGAATAAAAATAAAGTGAAGTTGAGCAAAAGCATTTTTTATTACAGAGGTTGAACGACCAAGAGATTGAAAAAGCGTTGTTTTAGTCCAAATTATTTAATTTCTCCAACATTTAAATAATAATGGTTTACTCTCTCAGTTCTAATACGTCATATCTATGTTTTAGTCTTATTTAATTGGACTTGCTCGAATTGTTACAAAAACCGCGTTATGATCGGAACGCGTCAATATGACCTCACGAGCCGGATTCGAGAACGACCTTTGCTTCTCGGCGGGCAAGATCCTTAACTTTATTTTTGTAAACGTGTGATTCGATGTGTGCTCACTACATATCTCACGCTGAGTTCAACGAAACGTAAAAAAATAGTGATCAAGTTTTTTTATATCGTTAAAATGTTGAACACTTCAATGTTTGTACAATGTTTTTATCGACACCATATTATTAAGATAATCATAAAAATTTCCTCTTCTTTGGTAACTAAGCAGAAAAAAATCGACACGTTTATTCCTCTGATATATATGTTTCCTCTAGATATTTTCCTTAAATCTAAATACAGCACGTGTTTAGCACTTTACAGATGAGTAAACATTCCTTAATTGAACTTATTTTACTCGCCTATTATAGAATTTAAAGCAAAGTCCATCTAACGGATTAACACATGTGTTGAAACTTATATAAAATTAATACACTTCAAATTAACGTTTTTTAAAAAGTAAATGAATAGTAAATGTTACCAGAAAAAGGATTTCCAATCCACCATGATAAGTTAATCGCATTACGTTTCTTTATCACCCCGGTATTCCTGTGCTAGCGTTGTCTTTCTCTGGTCGAGATCTACCACGTATATTGTTCTTTAAAAAAAAGACCTGTTATTTTATACACATAAATTGTACATGTACAAACAACCAAACGCAAATCAATTATTTGTATGTCGCACCAATACTTCTTACGTTCGGAATTCGAAACTACCCACGGAACCGAAAAAATGCTAACTTCTGCGCATGGCTTTTTCTTGAGTGCGCTTTCTATACAAAGAAGCAATGGTTTAAATTTGTACATTTTTGAAAACACGACTATATTTCTGTTTCTACGTATAGTGTAAAAATATGACGTAACATTGATGTATGCGGGTGTTTGGAAATCTGTGACACCATGAGTTTAAACATTACTACCCAAAGATTACGCAACTGTATCAAACAAAATACTTTGTTTATTCTATTTTGTAGTCATAGCATTTGAAAATATTCAATGCGGATATAAAATCCACAGGCAATTTGAGTTAACACTAATTAGTTTTATAAGAGTGGTAAGTGTCGATTTTATCAAGGAAGAACCTCGTTCATAAAAGAGTTGGTAGAGCCATACCGCAGCTATATTGTGGTTGCAGCACGAATGTGTCAGCTCGACCGGGGTAGGACCACGCTTTCACAAAGTACCAGTTAGTTCCCAGAAATAAATAACTTTATTTCTGGGAACTAACCATACCGTGTTTCGATTCTGAATCGAAGATTGGTGTAGCTGTAGGAATGGGCCTCAACATCCATTAGGTAGACTGTAGTATAACATTTTCACCCTTGTTGAAAACGGAACGTCATGTAATCGGATTGAGAAATACGTAACGAAGTAAATGCAAAAGTTATAATAATTTAGGATGATCTGATGCTATAAATATAAACTCATCTTTATTCGCTTTGCTTTATGCCTCTCTTCAGTATATTTTTAACTTTATATTTTTTTTTTAATTTTTGAATTTCAGGACTGGCCTTGATCTTTAAAAATTCGGCTTATGTAATATTATCTATATTTAAATATACACTGTAAGTTTTCTCAAACATACAATAATTTCGTTAAAAAGTGTACTTTAATTGTTTTTAAATATAAATATCTAGAAACAATAACAAGAAGGTAATAAAGATAGCCCTACGCTTAACCGCCTCCTACATCTGACTTAAAAAACACGCCACTTGGCACTCCGTGTAAAGCTACTAAATTGTCTTGCGGTCGGAATAATGGTTGCGGTAGCTAATAAAATGCTATTGCGCACGATTATTAACGTGGTGACACTTGGTGAAGCAACAGCTGGATAGCTTACGAAAATTTACCGGAGCGCGGGAGACAAGATTACATAACCGTTTACAATGTGCCTGCATTTGTTTTCAGTAATACATTGAGAACTAAAATCTTTTTTTGTCTATGCATTTATTTCTCACGTCTATATTTATTTTATTGATAATAAATCAACAACAACGATTTTTGGAAAGCGATATTAAGGATAATATTATGTATTTCACCACAAAAGCAGCTGCGTTGACAAACATTTAACTAAATGCAAATCAAAACAGTTTTCTACAACTACGTTGACTACTTACCTTACCTCCTGAGCGTGTAGTTGCGGTGTAAGAATATCCTCTACCCCATATTGTCTCGTGGATTATAAGTGGCTATAGGGGATAAAGTGGGAAACAAACTAAGTAATGGGCAAAATCGTTTTCCTAATAACAACTAAAAATTAAATAAAGTTGCGGTCACCAAAATCACTGCTAAGCGTGGTAAATATGACAAATATCCCCCTTATGAGGCAATGTATCGGGGGGGGGGGGGGGGGGCTTATGTTCAGCAGTTGATTTTTGATAGGTTGTAATGATAACGGTACGTTGTCTACGCAGCATAAACATTCCAGTTCTGTTATCTGTTGGGTAATGAATACAAAAGTTTAATTTTTGTTAACACTGGTCCTTACAATTTTGGTATGTTCTTTTAAAGAGAACTAATGAAGCTGTTAACATTTAACCGAGATTTTTAGTCGTACCCTTAATTTTTAAGTCTCCTCTTGCGTCCAGTAACTGAGTAAAAGGTTGTTTCGATTATAAAAAACAGACATTGCGAAAATTTATTATATTAAAGATGTGAAAATTATAAAGTAAAATCCGCATGAAAAATAGTGTGTATTTATAATTCGAAAGCTCCCGCCCTCCTGCAATTGTGTGCACTATCATTGCCATTTCCCAACTCCACTGAAAAACAACATCCACAAATGCAGTGACACTATATACTTATAAAATATATTTGAAGTTCTCATTCTTTAATTGTAAATAACATAATAATATGCGTATTTATTATAATAACAAAAAAAACTAAAACTAAAGTTATTATACAGTCCTCGTTCCAACCACAATAGTACTAA